AGCCCCGTCCCCCAGAGCGCCCCACCCCGCCCCCCATCTCCTCCAGCCCGGCCCCACCTCCAGCTCTGCCCCCAGCCAGCGCCCCACCACACCGCCCCCCCCAGAGCCCCCACCCCCTCCCCAGTGCCTCCAGCCCGACCCCCCTCCCCCCCCCAGGCTGGCCTCCAACACGCTCCGTCCCCAAGGGGGCCCCGCCCGTTCCTCCAGCCGCCCCCCCCCCCCCCCCCCCCCCCCCCCCCCCCCCCCCCCGCCCCCCCCCCCGCGCCCGCCGACCCCCCAGGCGGGGGGGGGGCGCGTGGTTCATCGCCACGCCTGGGGCTCGCTGCGGAGCCACGTCTGGCCCGATGCCCCCGCGCGGGGCCAGCGCACGCTCTCGCTGTTGACAGGTAGCGGGGACACGCCCGCCCTGCGCGCGCAGCGCTCTTGGGGCCGGCCCGGACCCTGGCCAGTAGGGGCCCCGTCCTCCGGGCCGGAAGTGCCGCGTCAGGATCCCCAGCGTTCGGAGCAGCGTCAGCGACATGGAGTCGCCGGTGAGGGGCTGGGTCCACCGCCTTCCCACAGAGTCCCGCGGGAGGGGCCTTGGTTGGCAGGGCAGGGACTGCGGGTGAAAGCTCCACCCCCCGCCGTGACCTCTGTGTGACCCACAGGGCCACGACCCCTTCCCCCACGCACAGCCCCCAGGCTGCGTTCCCCGTCCCTGAACCCGCGTCCGTGCCCCCGGTGTGCCGAGCTCTGCGCCCAGCCCTCCGTGCCCGCGAGCTCCCCGCTGCCCTGGTCCTTCCCTGCCCCGCTGCGCGGTGCCTGACTCGGTGCCCACTGCCAGCCTGCCTGTGCTGACGGGCCCTTCCTGCGCAGGTGCTGAGGAGCCCGGAAGAGATAGCGGCGCTGTACCGCGAGCTCAGCCAGTGCCCCTCGCTCTGCAGTGCCTGTATCGGGCCCGAGGTCACCACTCAGTATGGGGGCAAATACTGCAATGTCTATACAGGTACCGACTCTGTTGCGCCCTGCGCGTTCCAAGCCCCTCTGCCCCAGTGCGGGGAGGGCAGAGGAGCCCCGAGGGCAGAGGGCAGCTGCATTGTTCCTAGCTTTGGTTCGGCCTTGCCATGGGAGGCCCCCCAGTTCCCCATCTCTGAGGTGAGGCAATGGGCCCAGGCTGTCAGCTTGCCAAGAGTCAGTCTCAGAGGAAAGCACCCCAAGACCCTGCTTGGGGCTCTTCACATGTGTGAAGGGATTTGTGGCTGTTGGGTCCCATCGGATCAGCATGCCACCCCCTGGGTAGGCTCCCTGGGCTTGGGCTCAGCCCTTCCATCCCTGCAGCTCGCTCCACATGTCACAGCAGCATCCCACAGCACCTCCAGTCCTGACCTTCCCCAGTTAAGGGTTCCGCGGCCCTCCGCGTGGCTTCCCTAACCTGACCAGCCCTGCTTCCTGAGCCACTGCTCCCGGCTCTCCAGACTTCTGTCTTCTGTCCACTCAGAGGCCTGACTGAGCCTTGGGACCTGCCCATTGCCATGTGACTTGCTCCCTTTCTCCAACTGGAGGGGTGGGAGAAGTGTGCCCAGATGGGGCTGGCCCCAGCTTCCTGGGACAGAAGCTTGACTGCTGTCCCCATGTGCCAGCTGGGGAGCTGAGGCCCAGACAGTGACAGCTGATTTTCAGAGATGTCCCCCGTCCCAGCTGCAAAGTGCTAAGTGCACTTGACCATCAAGCCATAAGGGACTGGGCCACGATCACACAGAGCTGGGGTTGAGCCCAGATCTCCTGAGCCCTAAGTTGCTGCCTTAGCCACAAGCCCAGCCTGCTTGCAGGTAGCATAGAAAGTGCCAGGAGTGCAGGCAGGCAAGGTGCCCTGCTCTGCACACAGGCCATCCCATGTGGTATCTTTGCTCTAAGGCCAAAGGAGAGGGGAGCAGTGCCGGTCTGGGGCAGGCAGCAGCTGACTGCCCTCTCCTTCCAGAGTGGTCTCAGCAGGACCTGGAGAGAGCCGAGAGCGTGAAGTTCTGCCGCCAGTATCTCATCTTCCATGACAGCCAGGCCATTGTGTACTCGGGCCCCTCGGGCACCTGCAGTGAGATCAAGGGAGAGTGAGTGTCTCCGCCCTGTGCCTTTGCCAGCACCCACCATGTGCCCATCGCCACCCCCACAGCTCTGCTAGAGCCTGACCTGGCTGGCTGCCCAATGTGGGCGTGGTTGGCAGGAGGTGGGGGCTGCCCTGCCATGGGATGTGGGCAGCTGGGGAAGAGCTTGGGCTGCGTTGCCACCTGCCCTGGTGCTGGGGGCTCCAGCAGGAGGGACAGAGCCAGAGTGTGGCTCTACACCTGGCAGAGGCCCCCTGCTCAGAGTGCAGGGATGAGGATGTCCTGGGGGCCTTATGTCTAGCCCTGAATTGCCCCTAGCTCCCAGGCTACTGGTTGGGGAGGCAGAGTCTGCCATTACATTGCCCTGTCCCCTCCCCTGTGGCTACCCCTCCTCTGTGTCCTTGGGGGGCTCCAGGCTCAATTGCCTGCAAAAGGCCATTAGCAGAGGGCGGGGCTCTTGGCTGCGCCTGTTCCCACCCCCTGGAGGAGGTATCTGGGCCACCTCTAGCCCCCTGCTGCTTCTCCAGCTTTGCAATGGGGAACCCCATGTGCCAAACCTGTTGTCCCTGCCTTTTGCTGCGCCTGCTGGGAACACTTCTCCATTGTGCTGTGTCCTGGTGTGTGTTTAGACGGGATACAGGAGACAGAGGGTTCACATGACCCAGTCCCTGGCCAACAATAAACTGTGTTAACCGTGGCCTGGGCTTTAGGATCTGGAGACCTCAGCTTGCATAGCCCCGGGGCAAACAGCCCAGCAAACACCCCTTTAACTTGTACTGAACGTCCAGAAAGGAAGGGAAACAGTTGAAGCTTTTGAAATGGAAGGGATTGAGTCAGGCTTTCATTGTAATAACACCCCATGTTCCCTTTCCCTTTGGCAGGAGAGGGCTCCCCGTGCCAGACAGTCTCGTAGACAGGGTTATAGCTGGTAAATAACTGTTTGGGGAAAAGAGAAGCAGTGAGTTGAGATGGACTGGGGTAACTGCTACTGCTCAAGTCTGATCCTGTTTGCTAAGAAGACAACAAGCCCAACGCACCAAAGATAGAGCGGAAAAGAACAACAAAAAGAGAGATTCAGCATCTGTCTCTGGGGCTGACTTCATTGCAACCTCACTGCTGGAGAAACCCAGCCCATGCCCAAGAGCTGGCAAACTCGTACTAGCAAGAGGCGGTTGGGCGTAGTGCTTTTAGCTGCCGCTCAGTTACAGGCTTACAGTGGTGTTGCAAAGTATGCAGGCATGGCCAGCTCAGCCACACTCTTAATAATTAGGAAGAAAACAGAGAAGGCTAGGAAAGAGAAAAAAGGTGGAGAGGGCAAAGGCCGCAAGGGGGAATGAGAGAGGGGGGAAAAGTCTCACGTCCCAGCTGGGGTTGCAATTCAGCCGAAGCCAATGGAAGTGGTGCTGGCCTTTGGACCCCTCTCTTTGGCCTGGCCTGGTCTGGTCAGGGCAGCTCGCAGGAGCAGGAGGTTCCAAGGAGACCCAGCCACGATGGTGAAGCTCACTGCAGTGGTTGTCGCCAGACAGTTGCTGCTCTGGCTAATTTCATAAGAACATAAGAATGGACATACTGGGTCAGACCAAAGGTTCTTCTAATCCAGTATCCTGTCTTCCCACAGTGGCCAGTGCCAGGTGCCGCAGAGGGAATAAACAGAACAGATAATCATCAAGTGATTGCCCTGTCACCCATTCCCAGCTTCTGGCAAACAGTCTAGGGACACTATCCCTGCTCATCCTGGACAATAGCCATTGATGGACCTATCCTCCATGGATTTATCTAGTTCTCTTTTGAACCCTGTCATAGTCTTGGCCTTCACAACATCCTCTGGCAAGGAGTTCCACAGACTCACTGTGCGTTGTGTAAAAAAATACTTCCTTTTGTTTGTTTTCAACCTGCTACCTATTAATTTCATTTGGTGGCTCCTAGTTCTTGTGTTATGGGAAGGAGTAAATTAAACTTTATTTACTTTCTCCATACCAGTCATGATTCTATAGACCTCTATCATATCCCCCCTTAGTTGTCTTTTTTCCAAGCTGGAAAGTGCCAGTTTGATTAATCTCCTCATACGGCAGTTGTTCCATACCCCTAATCATTTTTTTTGCTCTTTTCTGAACCTTTTCCAATTCCAATATATCTTTTTTGAGATGTGGCGACCACATCTGCACACAGTATTCAAGATGTGGGCGTACCATGGATTTATATAGAGGCAATATTATATTTTCTATTTTATTATCTATCCCTTTCTTAATGATTCCCTTGATTCTGTTAGCTTTTTTGACTGCCGCTGCACATTGGGTGGATGTTTTCAGAGAACTATCCACAATGACTTGAAGATCTCTTTCTTGAGTGGTAACAGCTAATTTAGACTCCTCATTTTATATGTATAGTTGGGGTTATGTTTTCCAGTATGCATTACTTTGCATTTATCATAATTGAATTTCATCTGCCATTTTAACAATGAGGAGTCTGGTGGCACCTTAAAGACTAATAGATTTATTTGGTCATAAGCTTTCGTGGGTAAAAAACCACTTCTCCAGATGCATGAAGTGAAAATTGCAGATACAGGCATAAATAAATATTGGCACATGAAGAGAAGGGAGTTCCTCAGCTATCATCCCCTAGCACCCCTCCTCTACTTACGCTACATTGATGACATTTTCATCATAGGATCCATGGGAAGGAGGCCCTTGAAGAATTCCACATGGATTTCAACAATTTCCACCCCACCAGTGACCAGTCCGCACAAGAGAGCCACTTCCTGGACACTAAAGTGAAAATAAGTGATGGTCACATAAACACCACCCTATACCGGAAACCTACTGACCACTATACTTACCTACATGCCTCCAGCTTCTATCCAGGACACATCACACAATCCATTGTCTACGCAGCCAAGCCCTAAGATACAACCACATTTGTTCCAATCCCTCAGACAGAGACAAACACCTACAAGATCTCTATCAAGCATTCTTAAAACTACAATACCCACCTGGGGAAGTGAGGAAACAGATTGACAGAGCGAGACAGGTACCCAGAAGTCACCTACTACAGGACCGGCCCAACAAAGAAAATAACACCAGTGTCCATCACGTACAGCCCCCGGCTAAAACCTCTCCAGCACATCATCAACGATCTACAACCTATCCTGGAAAACGATCTGCCACTCTCACAGGCCTTGGGAGGTAGGCCAATCCTTGCTTCCAAACAGCTCCCCAACCTGAAGCAAATACTAACCAGCAACTACACACCACGCCACAGAAACACTAACCCAGGAACCAATCACTGTAAGAAACCCCATTGCCATCTCTGTCCCCATATCTATTCTAGCGACGCCATCAGGGGCTCATTCACCTACACATCTACTAATGTGATATGTGCCAGCAATGCCCCTCTGCCATGTACGTTGGCCAACCCGGAGACAGTCTCTACGTAAAAGGATAAATGGACACTAATCAGTCATCAGGAATGGTAACATACAAAAGCCAGTAGGAGAACACTTCAGTCTCCCTCACCAGATTTAAAAGTAGCCATTCTTCAACAAAAAAAACTTCAAAAACAGACTTCAAAGAGAAATTGCAGAGCTACAGTTCAAAACTTAACACCATTAATTTGGGCTTGAATAGGGACTAGGAGTGGCTGGCTCACTGCAAAAGCAATTTTCCCTCTCTTGGTATTGACACCTCCTCATCAATTATTGGGAGTGGACCACATCCACCCTGGCTGAATTGGCTTTCAACACTGGTTCTCCACATGTAAGGTAACTTCTTTCTCTTCATGTGCCAATGTATATTTATGCCTACAATTTTCACTCCATGCATCTAAAGAAGTGGGTTTTTTACCCATGAAAGCTTATGCCCAAATAAATCTGTTAGTCTTTAAGGTGCCACCAGACTCCTCGTTGTTTTTGTGGATACAGACTAACATGGCTACCCCTCTGATGCTATCTGCCATTTTGTTGCCCAGTCACCCAGTTCGGAGAGATCCTTTTGTAGCTCTTCACAGTCTGTCTGGGACCTAACTATCTTGAGTAGTTTTGTATCATCTGCAAATTTTGCCAGCTCACTGTTTACCCCTTTTCCCAGAACATTTATGAATATGTTGAGGACTGGAGCCAGTACTGGGGGATACCACTGTTTACCTCTCTCCATTCTGAAAACTGACCATTTATTCCTACCTTTTGTTTCCTATCTTTTAACCAGTTACCAACCCATGAGACCTTTCCTCTTATCCCATGACTGCTTACTTTGCTTAATAGCCTTTGGTGAGGGACCTTGTCAAAGGCTTTCTGAAAATCTAAATACACTATATCCACTGGATCCCCCTTGTCCACATGCTTGTTGACCCCCTCAAAGAATTCTAGTAGATTGGTGAGGCATGATTTCCCTTTACAAAAACCATGTTGACTATTCCCCAACAACTTATGTTAATCTATGTGTCTGACAATTTTGTTCTTTACTCTAGTTTCAACCAGTTTGCCCGGTACTGAGGTGAGGCTTACCAGCCTGTAATTGCCAGGTTCACCTCTGGAGCCCTTTTTAAAAATTGGCATCACATAAGCTATCCTCCAGTCATTTGGTACAGAAGCTGATTTAAATTATAGGTTACAGACTACAGTTAGTAATCCTGCAATTTCACATTTAAGTTCCTTCAGAACTCTTGGGTGAATACCATCTGGTCCTGGTGACTTATTACTGTTTAGATTATCAATGTGTTCCAGAACCTCTAATGACACCTCATTTCCCCCCAAGTCTGTTTGTTTTCCAGCCTCCAAAGGCAGAGGGGTGGAATAGCCCATTGACCACCAATTAGGCCAAATTTCCGACTCCAGGTTTGGTCCACTGATTTCTGGTCCCCACCTTCTCGTGGTTACCAGGTGTGGCCGGAACACCCAGTCCTTTGGGGACCTTTGTACATATTTTCTTGTTCCGTTTTGGATAACAGGTCACTGTGACAGCTTGGGAATGTTCACTCTCTTGCACGACTGAGCTCATAGGCTCAATTGCAGACCCCGTTATCACAACAGGCCCCAACTCCACCTCTCCCAACACCCCTGTGGGGTGGGTTAGCACGTGGGTCCAGGGTCCTATGGACTCCCTGAGCCCTGGCCGTGCCTCTCCTGTCCCTAGGCCATGCCATGCCCCCAGGCCCACTCCAGCCTGTCTCCCCCTGCAGGCTGCTGAGCAGGGAGTCTCCCAGCGGGGCACTTAAGGCCGTCTTGCGGAAAGCCAGCCCTGGCAAAGGCGAGGAGAAGCAGTTTCTTGAGGTGAGTCGATATGAGGCTGGGCCCACTAACACTGTGGGAAAAGCCCTGGGCAGAGTGAGGGCAGCCCTCAGCATTCTTGCTGTCTGGGGCCGAGGTTCCTTCCTGGCCTGACCGTGCTCAGGACTCAAGGAAGGGGCCCCTGCCAGCCCCTGCTGCTGACGGCCCCTCCTCAGGCCTGGCTTTGGGGTGGAGGGATCCGTTCTCTGTAGTTCCAGCAGGCCACTAGGGTGGGAATCTTTGTGGCTCTCCCCTCAGCGTTTACCAGGCATTGCTCATGGCACACTGGGGCCCAGCCTCGTGGGATCCTGGGCTGGTGTGGGGCAGGATGGACAGAGCCATGGCCAGCCCACTCCTTCCCTTCATGGGTGGAGCGAGCCCATGTAAGGTGGGGCCCTGCTGCCCACTCTGCAGCCAGGCAAACTACCACCCCAGCTGGCAGCTGTTGCCAGCAATACCCACCACAGTCACCTGTTCCCCCCGCCCTGTGCTGCCATTCCCCTGCCACCTGCCCTGTGGCCCCACAGTCCTGGGGCCTGGCCCCTGATGTTTTTGTTCCTCCAGATCTGGGATCAAAATCGCAAAGTGAAGAGCGTCAACCTGACTGTGTTGGAGAAGCATGGCAATGTCTATGAGGATGGTGAGGCTGGGTCCCTATGGATCCACCTTTTTCCCTGCATTGGCTGGCAGGGAATTGGGGGAGGGGGTGGGGCAGGGCAGGATATGGGGATGGGAGGGTGGCCAAGGGGGCCCTGTGGCCGTCTGGCCGGGCGTGCAGAGGGCGGTGAAGGGGGCCCTGCAGCCGTCTGGCCAGGTGGGGGAGGGTAGGGGAAGGGGGTCCCCAGGGCCTGTGGTGGGGGCACTGGGCCATGCTGCCCAACAGGGTCTGATCAACACTTCCCCAGATCAGTTTGGCTGCCTGTCCTGGTCGCACTCGGAGACCCACCTGCTCTACGTGGCTGAGAGGAAACGGCCCAAGGCCGAGTCCTTCTTCCAGAGCAGAACCCCGGAGCTGAGCAGCAACTGTGCTGATGAGAGACGAGACAAGGCTGTCAAGGTGTGTGGGGCGCAGCTGGAGATCGCGAGTTGGAGCTGTGGGTGGGCCATTCGTCCCACCCCCACAACTGGTCAGAAAGTCGGGCATGGTGCTAGGGCCCTGAGCAGAACTCCCAGCTCTGCCGCTGAGTGCTGTGCCATGCTTCCCTAGGGGATGCTGGGCCTGCCCATCCCCCACACACTGGGCCTGTGGGGCAGGAGATGGCTTTCCTGTGGGCTCTGGCAATGTAAAGAGCCAGATCTGCCCTGTATCTGAGGCACAGGGCTGTCCTGCCCCAGAAAGCAGGAGAGTTGGGGGGTGTCCCAGGGGAGGGGGCACTCATGGCTCTGTGTTCCAGGGGGAGCAGTTCGTGTACCATGACGACTGGGGCGAGGCACTGGTGGGCAAGAGCATCCCAGCCCTGTGCATACTGGATGTGGAGAGCGGCAATGTCTCGGTGCTGGAGGGTATCCCGGAGCACATCTCCCCTGGGCAGGTCAGTGCAGGCGTGGGGAGCCAGGTGCTGGCAGTACCTGACTGGCACTCGCTGGCAGCCCAAAACAGCCCCCAAACACCTCTCTACCTGTTCCCTCTGATGCAAGCTGCCCCTGCCAGCACCCACAGGTCACCCAGTTTCCATGAGGGGCTGATGTGCCTCAGCAGGGGAACCTGTGCCCCAGGATGCCAGCCGGTAGGGCGGGGCCCTGGTTTGGATCTCGGGAGGGCACTGCTCATTGCTTCATTCCCTTAAACAGAGCGGGAGAGTTTCTAGCTGCTCTTGCGCCCCCTCCGACACTCTTCCCCCCTCACCAGGTTCTCCTCCTCCCACCTTCTCTTTCCCCACCCCTCTTGCTCACTGGCGCTCTCCCACTTTGCCTGCAGGCCTTCTGGTCCCCTGGCGACACGGGTGTGGTGTTCATAGGCTGGTGGCATGAGCCCTTCCGCCTGGGCCTGCGGCACTGCACCAACCGCAGGTGAGTGCCCTGTGCTGCTGCCAGCTGCCCCTTCCTGAGCGCTGGGGAGAGGGGCCTCCCCATTCCCAGGTGTGGAGCCATGTCCATATAGTCTAGGCCAGTGGGACCCCTCGGGGAAATGCCCTTTGAGGCACCTTTGGGCTGGGGCTGTTCTGCTAGGGCAGAAGGCCGGACTGGGCCTGACCCAGCCCTGCTCTGAGAGCTGGCCCCAGCTTGCGGGCATCTGCTGCAGCCTCCTCTGAAGGAGACCACTGCAAAGGGAGGGGTTGTTGTGGGGCTGGGGCTGCCAGACTCAGCCTGAGGAGCCACAGCTCCGATCTGCCAGCTGGGAGCAGGGGCCATCTGGAGGGGGAGGAGTGGGGGCTGGGCTGGCCACTCCTATCGGGTGTAGGTCAGGAGGGTTGGGCAGTTGTGGGGAAGCTATGGGGCCCGTGCAGTGACGGCTGCCCTCCTCTGGTTCCCAGGTCAGCGCTGTTCTATGTGGACCTGACGGGAGCGAGGTGTGGTGAGTCGCTGCTGCTTTCTGAGCCAGTGCCCTGCCCGCATGCCCCCTACCTGCCTGTGCCCTCCCTGTGTGCCCCCTGCCCCTGTTCTGCCCACATGTCTCCGTCCTGCCTGTGCCCTGCCCACATGCCCCCTGCCCTTCTCATGGTCCCCATTCTGCCCATGTACCCCCATCCTACCTGCGGGTATGTCCATGTGCCCCTTGCCCTACCTGCATGCCCCCTGCCCTGTCCAGGGTCCCCACTATGCCCATGAAACACCGTCCTGCTGTGCCCTGCCCGCACTCCGCCCTGCCAGTGGTCCCCACCTCGCCCATGTGACCCCATCCTGCCTGCGCGCCTCCCATTCAGCCCGTGCCCCACACTGCCCATGTGCCCCCTGCCCCACCCACAGTCCCCACTCTGCCCATGTGCCCCCGTTCTCCACCTGCCCTGCCTGTGTGCCCCTTGCCCAGCCCCCGGTCTGGCTGTGTGCCACCCACCCTACCCACACCCCACCCTGCCCGCGGTCCCCGCTCTGCCCACATGCCTCTATTCTTCCCACATCCTACCAGCGGTCCCTGCTCTCTCCACATGCCCCCATCCTGCCTGCGCCCTGCCCGCGTACCCCCTGCCCTACCTGCATACCCCCTGCCCTGCCCACGGTCTCCGCCCTGCCTGTATGCCTCCTGTCCTGCCTGTTCCCTGCCTGCTTGCCCCCTGCCTGGATGTCCCCTGCCCTGCCAGTGGTCTCCACTCTGCCCATGTGCCCCCCGGTCTGCCCATGCCATGCCCTGCCCTTGTGCCCGCTGCCCTGCCCACGGTCCTTGTTCTGCCCATGTGCCCCCATCCTGCCCGCAGTCCACGCTCTGCCCATGTGCTCCCTGCCCTGGCCTCGTCCCCTCATCCTGCTTGCGCCCTGCCCCCGGGTCCCCTGCTCTGCCTGTGCCCCCTGTCCTGCCCATGTGCCCCTGTCCTGCCTGTATGTCCCCTGTTCTGCATGTCCCCATGCCCCCGTCTGGCCTGCCCCTGTCCAGCCTGACCTCTGCCCTGCCCACCTGCCCATCCTCCGCCATGATTGCCCCCCTATCCTGCCTGTGCTCACACTCTTCTCCGTCCCTCTGCAGAGCTGCTGTCAGACGACACTAAAGCTGTGTGGTCCCCACGCCTGAGCCCTGACCAGTGCCGCATCGTGTACTTGGAGAACAGCGCACTCGGGCCCCACCAGCAGTGCAGCCGCCTTCGCGTGGTGAGTGGGTTCCACCAGGTTGGGGAGCCAATGCCAGGGGTTGGGTGTCAGGCTCTCTGAGGCCCAGCCAAGGCCGTGTGGGCCATGTCTTCCAGGGGCACTTCCTGCTGGGAGCCAGCCTTCAGTCGCACTGCATAGGCCTGGTGCTTGGGCTTCTTCAGCAGCCTGTGCTGCCATAGCCAAAAGTCTGTGCACCCAGCGGCACAACGAGAATCCTCTTCCCTGGGCATGTCGCCCTGACACTTGGGCCTGGCCCTGCTCACTCTGCTGGTGCCCCCTGCTCCCCACAGCGTCACACCTATCATCCCCCCAATAAGGCACCGGAAGGTGCCTATGGCACAGCGCTGCTGCTCCCTTGGGTGCCCGGGGGGAGCTGGGACAGGCCTGCTGGGGTCTAGCTAACCCAGGTCAGGCTCCCCAGCACGCTGGGCCTTCCCATGAGCAGCCACCAGCCCTGCTCTGGATCCCCCAGAAGGGAGGGGGCAACATTGCAGAACAGAGCCCCACGCTGCTGCCCCTGAGTGCCAGGCGGCCGTCTCTTGCAGTACGACTGGTACACGAAGGTCACCTCCACCGCACTGGATGTCGTGTCCCGGCACAGCCAGGGTGAGTAGTCGGCCAGGTTCACTGGGGACGAGGGAGGAGCTGGGCAGCGGGATGATGAGACAGGCTGAACACCCAGGGATCTGGCGCTGTCTGCTCAGGAGGGGCCAGAGCTGCTGGGACCAGGAGGGGCTGCGTTTTGGGAGTGAGGGGTGCTGGCAGAGCTGGGGGGGGCAGGGGGCTGTGGATCAGGAGAGAGGGGCGCTGGCAGAGCTGGGGGGCAGCCCAGGGCTGGGCTAGCAGGGGCTGCGAGTCGGGAGTGAGGGGCACTGGCAGAGCTGTGTGGGCAGGAGGCTGAACAGGAGCTGCGTGAGAAGCTTGGTTCCCTGTTGCTGGCCATTGGTGCGAGTGCCCTGTGCCAGCCTGGCTGGTGTGCAGGGGGCAGTGCGCTGAACCTGGGGCCCTCTCCTTGCAGGAACGTTCACAGGGATCTATTGCCCAGCACTGCCTGGCCTGTGCTGGGCAGCCGATAGCCAGAGAGTCGTGCTGGACACCGCTCAGCGCAGCCGGCAGGTACTGGGGTCGGGGGCAGTCCACAGCTGTGCTGTCTGTGGGCATATGCAGAGCCCGGGGCCCAGGCCAGCCCTGAGCAGAGGGGCTGGGGGCGTGCTGGGCCCTACCTGGCTCTGACGAAGCTCTTGGTGTCCTCCTAGGAGCTGCTTGTGGTGGAGACTCTGAGTGGCAGCGTGACCTCCCTGACGATGGGTAAGTACCCGGCAGCCTGCTCTGCTCACGGTGTCCCTGGATGCCTGGTGGGAGGGGCTGGGAGCCCTGCTGCTCCCAGACTCCTCCTGTGAGCTCCAGACCGTGACCCGGGCATCTGTCCCTTTGCAGGCGCCCCCCTGGGCAGCTGGTCTCTCCTCACCATTGACCGGGATCTCCTGGTGGCCAGGTTCTCGACCCCCAGCTGCCCCCCAACACTGGTAAGGGATATGGGCTGGGGAGGGAGACTGTGCCGTGACCTTTCACCCCGCACGCAGACTCAGGAATAAAAATTTACTGGCTGCATCCACACCATACCCCAGCCAGCATCCCAAAGCATCACCCTGCTCAGGCTCTGGGCTAGCAGGGAGCAGTGGGGCAGGCGTGAGGGGCACCAGCAGAGCTGGGTGATGGAGCCGAGGGCCAGGCTAGCAGGGGACAGTGGGACAGGAGTATGGGGCATCAGCAGAGCTTGGGGGGTGGAGCCCAGGGCTGGGCTAGCAGGGGGCAGTGGGGCAGGAGTGAAGGGCACCAGCAGAGGTGTGGGGTGGAGCCCAGGGCTGAACTAGCAGGGACTGCAGGTACTGGGGCTGCATGCAGGTTGCCTATTTGGTCAATGCTGTCAGTCTCTCCTTGTCAACCCCCCCATTCCAGCTGCAGCCATTTCCTCCCCAAATGCTGCCAGAAGATATCTGCAAAGGCCCCCACCCGAGCATCCTGGCCCCCCTTGGGTCATGCCCCCACTCCCCGAGCATGCTGCGCCTGCCACTGATGGGCTCTTTCCCCTGGCAGAAGGTGGCCTTCCTCCCCGGGGCCGGGCGGGAGGCCCAGGTGCACTGGGTATGTCTGGAGGATGTGACCCCCATCCCGGAGATCAGCTGGGTGATCCGGCCCCTGCAGCCCCCCCCGGATCAGGAGAATCCGCAGTACAGTGAGTGCCTTCGGGAGTGCGGGGCTGGGCTCTGGGGGCTGGCGCTGACGCTGACATCACACTCTTCCTTTGCAGAGGGTATTGATTTCGAAGCCATCCTGCTGCAGCCCAGCAAGGGGCTAGGGCTGAGGAAGCTGCCCCTGGTGGTCATGCCCCATGGTGAGACCCCTGCCTGGCATGCCCCTCCCTTCCCCCCCCCACCACCACAGGGACCCCCACCCTCCCAGACTGTGTAGGTCTGATTAGGCCTAATTATGAAGCTAGAGCCGAGTGTTGTGCTGTCAGATCTGGCTCTCCCCGACCCTTGTCAGTGCTGCCACCTTGCCCTGGGGCTCCCCATGCCTGCCTATCTGCAGCTGTTCCCCTCCTGCTGTGGGGCCAGCTGCCCTCCTGTCCCATGGGGTTGTCATGGCAGCTGCAGGCCACTGCCCCTTCACTGGACTCTGACTCCCAGGCACGTGCCCCACCCCCCCGGGCAAGGGGGCATTCGCCAGCAGCCACAATGCCAGCCCCATGGCAGGGGAAGGGGAGCGGCCCCAACCCAACCAGCGCCTGACACTGACAGGCGGGTCCCTCTGGGTTTGGGTTGGGGGCAAGGTTCTGCCCTGGTGTTCATGTCCATGGAGAGTCCCTCCCTAGGCAGCTTGCATCAGTCCCTAGGAAGATGAGGGGTGATCAGGTCAGATCTGAGTGAGGCTCTGCAGCCTGGCATATGGGGTGGCAGCCTCACTCGGTTTTGGCACCTGCTATTGATAGTGCAGGGAGCCACGTCCCTGCTTGCCCAGGCCCAGATCCCACCCTCGGCACTGCTGGCGTCATCACAGCGGCCTGGCAGCACCCACTGGGCTGAGTCTGGAGCAGGGTCAGTGTGGGGATGCCGTTCCCTGCATGGCAGGGACAGAGCTCAGGGAGAGGTGGGACCGAGAACTGTCCCCCAGCTGCATGCAGGTCAGAGTCTACCCAGCCCCACAGGGAGCACAGCAATGCCACGGGCCTAGGCCCCCAAACCCCTCAGCCCCGCGGGGAGCACAGCCACCCCAAAGGCCTAGGCCCCTCAGCCCCAAGGGGCGCACAGCCACCACACAGGGATCATAGCCACCCCACAGGCCTGGGCCCTCCGACCCCACAGCCCCTTCCCTCTTCTTTTACTCTTTTGTCCCCATGGTAATTGTTTTGGAGGGTTGGGGGGGCCTCTGTTTCCAGTTTTGCCCTGGTCCCCAGAGCTCTGTCGCTGTGTTGAGCGTCTTGTCCCCGGTTCCCAACCAATCCCTTGTGCCAACGGTGTCGTTCATTCGCCATTCAGGGAGTGATTGGGGCCAGCAGATGCCCCCTGGTCCATGCTCCCCTGAAAGCCTCTGTTCAAGGCAATCGTGTGTTGGGGGAGCCTAGCAGCTCGATCACTTTGCTCACCCAGCTCCTCCCCGTCCCTGCCAGACACCACGTCCCAACAATTACACTACACACACGCTATGAGCCCCTTCCCTCTGGACTCTGCCCCATGGTCCAGCCCCTCACCCCTCTGCCCTCACCTTGCAGGAGGCCCACACTCTGTCTGCACGGCCAGCTGGATGCTGTACCCCGCGGTGCTCTGCAGGATCGGCTTCGCTGTGCTCCTGGGTGAGTCCTGCCAGAGCCACGGGAGCAGGCATGGTGCAGCCAAAGCCTGGTGAAGTGGCTGTGGGCTCCCTAGGCCTGGCCGTGCTCGGCCCCTGCCAGCTCCCTGGGCACGGCACCCTGGGGAGGAACTGCTGGGCCAAGGCTTACTCTGAAGGTGCCCTGGAGCCCCTGGAGAGGGCTGAGGGCACATCTGGGCCACGGCACAGGGAGGCTGAGCTCCCAGAATGCAGCATCAACATGGGGATGGCCATTCAGGGCAGGGCCCGGGCACCATCAGCATCCCTGGGACAGCCAGCAGGAGGGCGCAGTCCCCGGGCCAACCCAGCCCCACAGTACTCAGCTGCTCTCCCCTCACCCTGGGTTGCAGGCCTGCAGCTGTGTGCCCCTTGGCCAGGGTTGGGGTCTCCTGGCAGCATCCTGCTCCCAGAGCATGGCAGGGGGCTAGCTGTGGCAGGCCAACCCTGTACCCTTGTGAAACCCTGTTGCTGGGGGGCTGTCAGGCACTCTCCCATCATGCTGAACTCTCTCCCACAGTGAATTACCGCGGTTCGCTGGGCTTTGGCCAGGACAGCGTCGCCTCCCTGCCCGGGCACGTGGGCTGCCAGGATGTCAAAGACGTGCAGGTAGTGGCTGCCCCCCCCACCCCCCCAGCTGCCCTGCAGGGGCTGGGACAGTGTGTGACCCACAGCCAGGAGACCAGGCTGCTCCCTCTGGGCACCTTCCGCCCAGGGACTTGCTAGGGGGAGATGGGCTCAGCCAGCTTGTCAGGTCCTGGCCCCATCCCAGCCCTGCCCCCCTGTCCCCTCCCTGGGCGATCCCTTCCAGGCCCTGGCTGCCCCCTCCTTGAGACTGCCCTGGCTTCCCACCCTGCCCTGAGGCTGCCCTGTCTCAGGCCCTGGTGCCCTGGCTGCCCCATGGCACTGCCCCTCTCATCCCATTGCAGTATTGTGTGGAGCGGGTGCTGCAGGAGGAGCCCCTAGACTCAGCGCGTGTGGCACTAGTGGGTGGCTCACATGGGGGCTTCCTCGCTTGCCACCTCATCGGTCAGTACCCAGGCACCTACCAGGCCTGTGTGGCAAGGAACCCGGTCATCAACATGGCCTCCATGATCAGCAGCACCGACATCCCAGACTGGTGAGTGCCTGGGGCTAAGACCCTCCCCACCCCCTGCACCAGGTGCAACCTGGATCCTGCCCTGAGCCGGGCTCTGTCTCCTCTGCAGGTGTCTGACTGAGGCCGGCTTCCCCTATGCGCCCGACACCCTACCGGATGCCTCCCACTGGGCAGAGATGCTCCACATGTCACCCATGCAGTACGTTGCCCAGGTATGGACCCCACCCCCCTGCTCATAGACCCCAACCCCTGCTCAGAGACTGGTCAAGCTTCTGACCAGGGCAAGACAGTGCAGCCCCGGGATCCTAGGTTGGGGAGCTGGGAGGAATTGGCTGGAGCCTCTCTGTTGTTGGATCACGAGTGGCTTACAAAAGCATTCATGTAACTCAGCTAGGTGTGTCCCTGCCTGTGGATGGTTGTGTGAGTGCAGGACCTGGAGAGGTTTGCAGTTTGTCACAGCGTCACAGTGTGAGAGGGAACCCAGGTTGGTAAGACGGGGTCAGCAGTACCACAGTTCTAGACTGCATTCTGGGGAACCCGTCACAGGGGGGTGGTCATCTGATTCCTTTGTTCTCCAACCTTTTAGCTATCACTTTGCAGAGGGGGAAGGGCCCAGGCCATCAGTTGCCAGGAAACAGTGTCGGCCATTTATGTACCCTGGCCCTTTGCTCTGCAACAATTACACTCCCTTAAGAAATGCATAAGAGAAATTGAGGCACCCCTACAGTATTCAGAGGAAACATTAAGAACAGTCCCATTTTGCCACATCTTCCTTAGAGGTTTTTAATGTTAGGCTTGACAAAGCCCTGTCTGGGATCATTTAGTTGGGGATCGGTCCTGCTTTGAGCAGCGGGTTTGACTAAATGACCTCCTGAGGTCCCTTCCAACCTTAATATTCTATTCTATGGTGTGGGTCCCCTAGTGCTGGCTGTGGGACCCAGATCTCTGCCCTGCTCTTCCCCCAGGTCCGGGCACCTGTGCTTCTGATGCTGGGAGAAGAGGACAGGCGTGTCCCCCCCAGGCAGGGGCTGGAGTACTACCGTGCTCTCAAGGCCAGGGGCGTCCCTGCACGGTGAGCCTGCGGGGGGCAGGACATGGGGATCAGCTGGGAGGAGAGAACTGATTGGTGCAGGGGCCATGGCTGGGGCGGGAGGAAGGACAAGTTGGGTGCTCAGGTGCAACAAGGCCAGTGGGGCTGGGATCACCAATGGAACAGGCTGGCACCAAGGGAGGGAGCAGATCACTGGGGCGGGGGGAAGCTGGAGTTGTAGGAGGGAAGCTGGCTGGAGGCTCAGATGGCTGCGAGGAGTTGGTACATCCCAAATGGCTGGGGTGGTCCTGGTGCAGGGGTCCTGGGGGAGCAGGTGGGGGGTCCTGGTGCATTTCTTGATGGGTGGGGGGGGTCTCTGGAGAGGTGGCAAGGGGTCCTGGTCCATGTCCAGGTATATGTGTGGGGGGGGTCCTGGAGAGCTGGTTACGGGGTACCTTACCAAGTCCTCTCCTTCTCCACAGGCTGCTGCTGTACCCCAGGAACAGCCATGCGCTCTCTGGCGTCGAGGCTGAGGCCGATGGCTTTATGAACATGGCGCTCTGGCTGCTCCAGCACCTGCAATGCTGACAGAGGCTGGGCTTCGCCTCTGCCCGAGCCCTGTAACCTGCATCCAATAAACCCATGGCTCATCTTGTGTCCCTGAGGGCGTAGCGTGCCCCTGGGGGGAGGGGATGGGTCTCCACTGCAGCGGGGGGCCCCCTTCACTAGCAGGCTGTGGGGCTAGGGTGGGGGAGGAGGAGCCACCAGCGCCCCTCCTGCAGAACTGGGAAGGGCCCTGGGGGAGGAAGGTGGGAGGTGTTCTGGGAAGGGCCCTGGGGGAGGAAGGTGGGAGGTGTGCCAGTACTCGCTCTCCCCTCACCTGGCTGGCTGGCTTTACACTCCACCTGCACCTTGCGAACAGCCCATTCTGTAAGCCTACCCCTTGTGGGGTGCCTCACAGCCCTAGCTCTAGGATCGAGCCCTGGAGGAACCCCTCAGTGGCCAGCACCCAAGGTCCCCCCCTCATCTGCCAGGGCAGGCCACACATTCTCACCACCGCCTGCCCACCCTGTCCTGCTGAGCCAGAAGCCTGGGGGAGACTTTCACCCTCACCCTCCCAGCCCACAGCCAGTGTTGGCAGTGACACCCGGCAGCCTTGTCCAGTCAGAGCAGGATCTCTGACTCACCGGGACCAGCCAAGGCTGAGACAGCTTCACCCAGCCATGGTGCCCTGCAGGCAGGTGTTGGCTCTGCCCCAGGTGAGCGCTGCTGAGTCGGCTCTTACCCCTGACATCTTGGGCCAGTGCCCTCAGGGCCAGGCTGACTTCAGATGCCCCACCTGCCGGCCTCCCAGGGCTGGGAGTTAATTGTGCCATCCCTGGGGCTCCCATTTTCTTTCCAGGTCCTCCAGGCAGTTCACTGACCCTGCTGCTCATGACTCCTGCTCTGTCCTAAGAGTGGTATTTCAGCCCCTTTGCAGTGCCGCCCTGTGGATGTGAAGTCCAGAGGGAAACTGATGCATGCACAGGCATCATAAAAACTGCAGAAAATTTCCACTTTGTGACAGCAGAAAGCAAGATTTCCCCAGCCCTGCTGTCAGCAGCTAGTGCTGCCTCATTGGCAGGATACTTGGTGCATGGACCACAGCTGGGCTGAGTCAGCTGGAGCTGTTTGGGCAGGGAGGAGAGTGGGGACAGGCAGTGGCACTATAAGGCTTTTGTGTATCACTGGGTGGGGTCCATAAAAAAAGAGCAGCTTGCTCCTGGCCAGCCTGAGCTTCAGCCACTGTCCGGCCCTAGATAAAGGGCAGCAGGTGTATGCAGATGTTGGCATAGCAGAGAGGTGGCACTATGAACAGGCAGCAGGATGGGCAAGTGGATCCAGACTCACCGCCAGAGCGAAGAGAGGGGCCAAGGGCAAAGTCAGGAGGGGGGTCCTCTGCCCCAGGTGAGTGATGGGAGATGGAGAAACAGGAGCGGATGGAGCCGAGAGGCCTGGGCTATGGGCAGGAAAGGGGGCATGGCAATCCCAGTCCGACAATACCTGTGCTCATTGCTCTGGTGCAGGAGGGCCTGACGTGAGCCGAGGGCAGGAAGCTGAACCCAGGCAAAGCAGGTGTAACTGTTTCACGCTGAGGGGAATTAGTCACTGGAGCCATTGTGGTGCAGTCTCCATTGCTGGCAGTTTCTAGCTCCAGCTGGGCTATTTCTAACAACTCTGCTAGGAATTGCTGTCTCTGGCCTGGGCTCAGAGCTAGGGCTGGGAGACAGCAAGGGCTCAGCCTAGCTGATTGCAATGGGCCCTTCCGGCCAGGGAAGCTCTGAGCTCCGGTTGGACCAGGGTGCAGCAGGAACTGGGGCTCTGGCGACCATGGCTCCCTGTTCACTGCCTACGTCCCTACAGGCTGGCCTACCAAGCCCAAGGTCTGTCCCTGTCTACAAGGGGCTCATGGCCCAGTGTGGCTCAGGCCCTTGGCAATGCCTCCGGCCCCCAACGCCAGCTCCACGACAACACGACTGGGCCTTAAACATAGTGATCTCTGTGGGGCTCCTTGCAGCAAGTGCAGCCCAGCCAGACCCTTGTGCAAGGCTGGATTGTCCACTGGCTGAAGCCTTGGAAGGTCCCTGGGCTCAGGACTGAGAGGCAAAGCCATGACAGCTGGTGTCGATTCCCCTGCTGGCTCTGGGTCCTTGTCCTTATCTCAGGGCAGCTCTGAGCCTAGCCACCAGGTGGTCTCCAGCAGGGCACCCACATCCCACCTGCCAGGTGTCCTGCTGGGTGGTTACTCCTGTGCTCAGCACCACAAGGAGCATCCCTGAGCCATGTACAGACAGTGTGTCACCCCTCTGCAGGGCACTGCCCATCATCCTGGCCCCTTCTCCCAGCTGTGCTGCCCCAGCATACACACCCCCCCACACACACAGATCCGCACTGCCCTACCCTAAGCAGGGCACTGTGAGCCCTGCTTGCATCATCTAGACTGGGGGAGGGGAGGGCGGTACTAACATCTGTCCTCACCGCTCATTGCTGAGCCTTGCCAGGGGCCTTTCCATGGTGTCTGTAACTTGTGTGTGTGTGCGTGTGTGTGTGTGTGTGTGGGGGGGGTGTTCCTTGCCAAGAATGGGGAAACCCTTCCGCTAAGTCTTCAAAGTTCTTGATCTCATTTCCTTCCTGCTGCCTCCCCGGCACCCTCTGCAGCCCTTGGATGTTCTGTGACTCTACGAGCGTGGGGCAGGCCTGGTACCCAGGGTTTTCAGAACCCTAAGCAGTGGTAACTTAACAGTTTCTCTCCAGGTGCTGTCAGGAATAAATCAATGGGGACACAGCTCCTCTGTCTGATAAATGATTGACACAAACAAGAGTGCTTTTACCTACAACTAACTTTTTTATAAGGTCTTTTGCACACATTCTCCCCTCCCCTCCCCATATGCTGTAGCAGTGGGGTTAGAGCCAGCCAAACATTTATATATACCTAACATCTGAAATGGTTTCAAGGAATCAAAACCAGTCTTCCAGGTTGGGGGTCCCAGTGGGGGCACCAGGCTCTGCTGTATGTGGGGTGCTAGGTGGCTGATGGCTACAGGGGCCGCATCAGCACACATCCACTATCCCCAAGAGGAGTAGGAGTCAGGCTGCCCATGGTGATGGGGATGGGGACAGGGAAATAGGGAGGGGGGCAGGGTGTGGGACTCCAGGTCTGCCCTGATCTCCTGGGACCCTGGCACTACCCAGGGAAACTGAGTGGATCAGTAGTGGGCCCTTTCTAGAGCTCTCTTCCAACCAGAGTGGGGTCCTGCTGTCCACGGAGCCATGAGTGTGGCGGGAGCTGCCTCGCCAGGGTGCCTTCTCATGGCCAGAGGGTCAGAAACAGTGAGCCCCATCACAGTAGATACGGCTGGGGTGGCTAGCTATTACAGCACCCCTGCTGGGCCAGTCTGGGACTGCAGGAGCTGAGAGCTCCCTCTTGCAGACCAACAGTATCGGTGCTATCCCCCCTCAGCTTTGTGTTGAACCCCTTCTGTGGGATAGACTCCCTAGAGGCTCATTCATCCTTCAGGGCTGGCTCCTGAGGCTGAACATCTGCGACTCTAGCCCGCTCCCCGCATCCTTCCTTGAGTGTTGCCCAGCGGAACCGGCCACCTCGGAGAGATGTTCATACTCTGCAGGTATCAGTGCACCTCATCCAGCATGTGCAGTGACGTTCCCAGTGTGCTGTCCAACCAGCAGGGTTTATTAGTCACTGGACACAGAGCACAGACCAGCTTTTGGTTAGCACAGAGAGAGCAGGGTAAAACATCAGCCATACTGGGTAGCCAGGGCCCAGCCAAGCTGTCATGAACCCCATGGTCTTAGAGAGCTTATCCCTTCACTCTCCCACTTCCCTGGTCCTTCTCGCATGAACAGAGAGCAACAATACCCGAAGTCTGAAGGTGCAAACAATTCAATGTTTATTGGGGTGAACTTCCAGCAAGCTTAAATCCAAGTTCCTTTTTCCTTATTTTCGAATCCCAACTTACTTCCTGTTTGCCCCTAATTTATACAGTAATATTCTTAGCTATACCTTAACCAATCATTCTGCTGAAATTTAATTAACCTATCCTAACATATTGTAACATGATTAGCTAACCAATTATATCCCACCACCTTAATTAGTTTACACCCAGCAAAATTAATTATACAGCAGACAGAAACAATCACAGAACCAGACAGAGACCATGCCAATAAACTATAGCAACGTGGGAACTATAATGAGAAAACAATACGGAAGTGAGGATTTCACAACTACATCTATAAAGACATAAGGGTTTCCCAGCTGTGTCTACGGATAAGTGAGTTCTTACCAGATAGCAAACTATCAACCTAAATGTCCTTTTTCATCTTCTAGGCTCTTCCTTTTCTCTGGAGGTGATAGATTGGATCACCTTACTAACAGTCCCATATTGACTAGTTTGGGATGTGACCGTTCACTTCCCAGCTTTGGCTGCCTCTGCTGCTTAGCCAAAGGCACTGGCCTAAGAACAGGGCCTCAGACTGTCACAGTGAGAGAAGGCCCTTACACAGATTCTTTCTTGTATACCTCTATTACTAGCTAAATGATAAACATATACCTACATTCTTAGAGTATAGGCCTTTACAGACAGGCATGAATATCTATATCCTAACACATGGGTCAGGCTCTCTCTGATTCCTTGATCAGTTCCCAGGCAAATGCCATGACTCATGCAGCCAGCTCCCACCCTCCCACTATCTCCCCACCTCACACCTGGCCACTATTCTCGGGCTAGGGTCTAAGCAGGTGGGGAAATCTGGCTACCTCCGGGGCATTGGTCGTTAGGTGTCCGTGTCCTGGGGACTGGGTTTGTCAGTGTCCTCTCAGAGCCTCTATTGATATAGGTCTGCTTTGGCCAGTTTTAATTACCCAGCCCAGCTCAGTCAGCCAGATGCCAGTCATGCCTCTGTCTCCTAGCCTGCCCCATAAGCAAACAGCCCTTTCCCACCACTGGGCAACACTGTGATATATCGGGGAAACTGAAGCACATATATGCTTCATAAAACTATTATAGAAAAGTCCCACTTTGTCAACCCCTCCAGAGCCAGGGCTCCTGCCCTGCCCCACAGCGCCCCCTGCTGGGAGAGGCTGGAGATGGCATAGCTGT